GATAGATTGATTGATTTGGGGTGCTCCCCCTAGACTCCCATATACATGTAGTTCATATATACAAGATCGCTCCCAGGTCACTCCCCAAGCAAAGCTCCCAAGCACACTCCAAGGGTAGAGAGCTTTAGCCAAGTGCCGATCCAAAGCAGCCGCACCCGCTCCCAACAACTATGGATGGAAGCCATGAAGAAACACGTAGGAAACAATAAGAATATGCAAATGCAAGAAGGAAAGTTGACTAAGATGAGAATGATTAAACAGCCTATGCATTTCCCAAAATTCTCTAAGAAAGCAATGTCAACATTGGCCGATGGCAATTAACATTAGTAGTTCAAGTATATGCATTACCACAAGAAATGACCATGTCCAGTAATTGCAAGGACTCCATTGCCCATGACTACATCATTCCATGGGATTTAGAATTAAAGTGTTGTATTGAACAAGCATGGCTAAAAACAAACAGATCAAACCGTGTCTATATTAAACACCAATAAAAAGCTCGCCGTACCATCGTAGTTACACATCACACAGGCATTAGAAAGAATATTTAGAGAGGCAGATTATACATCAAAAACAAAGAGGAAAGGTATTGTTACATTACCTCCTGAGCAAACTCTTTTGCAAAGTAGATTGAAAGTTTTTTATGACTTTTCCCAACATAATATATAACAGAAAGGATATCTGGTTCATCCTATAACAAGGGAAAACAACATATTAGAATATTGGTGTGCCTGCCAGTCATAAAACCACAGCATTAATGAGCATTGCAGAATAGGTAAGTACAGACCAGACCAAAGGAAAAAAAAAAAGAAAAGAAAAGAAAAAGAAACAAAAACATTGTTTACAAAACAGAGTATAACAAATTTGGCATTACTACAATCAACTTTAATTGTGTCACAAAAAATCCAAGGGGAACCAAAAAATATAAGGGAGACTCTCATACATTCCTGATAGGGAAGAGCATCATCAGTGTTCAAGAAATCGCAGAGCCAACTAGGAACCGCCCGAGTCAGTGCGATATAGAAGGATGGTACCAGCATGGGAATTAGGAATCGCCCAATAAAAAAAGGAACCATTTTTTTGTTCATGAAACCCACAATTCGCCATTAACAATCATTCTCCCGCATTTCTTCATGAAAAAAAAATGAAATTAATGTCAAATATTTTAGTTTTTGAGCCTCTTTTCTATCTATAAGACCACTTTTTATCAAAAAATAAAATATGATACAAGAAGAGTCCGAAGTCGAGATTTTTGAAACCGAAATACAAAACCTTTGTTTTCTTATTGCTTCATCAAATCCGGTCAAAATTTTCCCAAAATGTTCCTATCACATTGATCTACAAGAACCCTAACAAAACTATTCGAATCAAAATCAAAACTCTCAAACATCAATTTTAGTTTTTTTTTTTTCTCGATCACTTTCTGTTTATCCATTTTCACTCAAGAAAATATGACTTTGATCTTTTTCAACTGCTCTATAGGATCTAATACATTTTTTTGGAAGCATGCTCTTGTCAGATAAAATCAAGAGATTAAAAAATAGGTTAGGTTTTTTTTTTTTCATTTTGAGCACGGTTTTTTAATCTGAAACCAATACATGTGTTTTCATTCAAGCTATTTCTTTTAATTTGATCTCCATTTTTTCAACATTTTTTTTCCTTTTTTTCATTCCCGAAATTTTAGTTTTTGCCCTTTTTCATTTTTTATACACCATGGCTCAATGACCAAATCATACAGTAGGTCGATCCAATGTGGAACAGGGGGATGACCAGTTTGACCCCACAGTCCATCTTTATGAGGAATTAAGCAACACCATCAGCATCGCTTGGAATAAGCCAAAAGCAATGATACCAAGATTGAACTAGAGCAACTAACTCAATTAGAGAATCAGTGAACAGATGCCCTGTCCGTCCAATCAGCCCCTAAGGCTAGCTAGTCCATCGAATTGGGCTTGAATTGGTGCACCTGCTGGTTTACTGATCTAGGATGAACCAGCCGGTCTTGACAAGGGAAAAGAAGGCTAGTTTTGACTATTTCTGGTTTTTTAAACGAGGGTTTGAATAGGTTTTTTTTTCACCCTTTCGAGTTTTTTTATGAGTGTTTTTATAAAATAAAAAGTAAGTTTTTTTTTTTTAGAGAAAAATATTCTATAGGAGAGAGAAAGAGAGGCCCTCACCATTTCTACCACTCTCAACCAAAAAAAGTATGAAAGACAGAGAGGTCCTAGCAATTTCCCTCTCTCAACCAAAAAAAACTACGAGCTTTAGGGCGAAAGTAATCAAAATCTGTAAAAATACGAAATATTTAAACCCCAAGAGAGTGTGTATCGTAAGTGTTTTTGTTTTAGATTAAATTATTTAAAATAACAGAATGGTGTACCAAGATTCGTGTAGCTGTCCCCAATTAGTTGGGAAAAGCCTCGGGGTGATTTAATTATTTAAAAATGCAATATATATCTATATATATATGGAAAAAGTTTATTTAAGTTTGCAACCTTAAAGTGTAGAAGTAAAGATGCACCTCAAAAATCTATAGGAAAAGGTTGTTTTAATATTGAAAAACTTTCTAATTGATCATCTCGAAATTGAGATGAATGAAAATCTAAAAAAAAATTATTTTGAGTCCAAGAAATAGTGCATCTTACAACACATTATCTAGACCGTCCATTTTCAAGATTTTCATATATTTATAGATTTACTTGATTTTAACCATTTTTTGTTTTTAAAATTTCATGATTACATAAGAAAATAGATTTTCAAATAATCCTAAGAATTCATTACTCCAAAATTACATAATATGATAC